TCAGAGCTTGAGTTTGGAAGACAGTTTTCCCACAAGAGTTTTATTTACCTCTGTATCCTCAATTAAAAGCATCCAAAGCAAGTGTTCCATCCATGCTGGAGTTAGTGCAGAGTGCCAGGCCATCAAGTGTACACAGAGGATTGTGTCATTTTGGTTTAAAAAAAAAAAGACTAAGTGAATCAAAAGCTCTGACTGTGAATACAGTATATTGGCAATATCTGGGGCCTATTTTATATATGAGTCCTCATAGGACATTTAAAAATAAAAGTTTAAAAATCTATTCTCTCTGACTTCTTCGGAAATATTTTTTTTATTTAACTATTAGTAGGGATCTGACACTGAATAATGGCCCTCCTCCAGAAACAAAAACGGATTAACATTTGTCCTTTTTTCTTTTTCAATTAAAAGCCTGTGCTGCCAGAGTTGCTGGTCTTTGATGCTGAGGGATTACGATTGGGACAATAATTTAAAAGATGATAATAAAACTGTTATTGTGCTCTGATTTTAAAGTTAGTTCAAATGAAACAAAATTAGACATGGCCCCTAAGAGCAGCTTTTCACATATCCCATATAAGCAGGCATTCCCCGGGGCTTCCCTGGTGGCGCAGTGCTTGAGAATCCGCCTGCCAATTCAGGGAACACGGGTTCAAGCCCTGGTCCGGGAAGATCCCACATGCCACGGAGCAACTAAGCCCGTGCGCCACAATTACTGAGCCTGCGCTCTAGAGCCGGTGTGCCACAACTACTGAGCCCGCGTGCAACAACTAATGAAGCCCACATGCCTAGAGTCCGTGCTCCGCAACAACAGAAGCCACCACAATGAGAAGCCCGTACACCGCAATGAAGACCCAACACAGCCAAAAATAAATAAGTAAATAAATTTATTAAAAAAAAAAGCAGGCATTCCCTTCCATGAGTAAAAAACATTGTTAGTGGCATCAGACTTTCCTCATTCCAGGGTATGAGTTTTTAGCATCCCTGAAAATCATCTAATATGTGGCTATTTGATTTTGTCTAAAAGAAGAAAAATAGTATTAAAATGGAAAGACACTGAAAATGGGAATCAAGTGCTAACCAGCTGTGTGATCTTAGGCAGGACCCTTACTTTCACTCACTCAAGTCATATCACAGGCTTGTGTGGCAACGTGCTTGGGTCCCCACTTGTGTGCACAGTTGTGTGTATCCGTTTAGCACACGTGTTGGTTCACAGGTTCATTTATTCTGGTTTGTTCATCTGTGGTGCTCACCATACCTCACCAGCAGCTTTCTCACCCCTGGTCCCCTAGTTTTGGGGGCCCCTCTTCCCCATGCCCATCCTACTGACTCTGCTTAAAGAAATCTTACCTACCAAGATTCAGCCCAAATCCCATCTTCTGGGGAAGTCTTCTATAACCACACTAGCTTCCTTTAGCTGCTTTCACACAATTTTCAGTTCAAGGTCAACCAAACACTGCAGCCCAAGATTAACTGCATGTGCTGAAATCCTAATATATATGTGGCTCCACGTGGCTCAGTCTGCCCAGGGCATTAAGCACAATTTAACTCTCAACCTAGATTTCTCCCTGACAATCTGTGTTGGCTCTTTCTTCCACCTTTCTTTCAATCTGTTTTCTTGTTCTTATGTAAGTCTTTGTTCTGATTATTTTTGTTGTTGTTTAATCTCTTTTTCTCTAGGTCCAACTTTCTCTCTTATTCTCCATTGCCCCTTGTCTGTGGACTCAGTGACAGGAATGGAACTGACTAAAGCAAAGTATCCTTAGAGGGAAGAAGAATGAAGCTGGGAGAGGAACTAAGCAAGCAAAATGTAATGTCTTTTCAGGATGCTGCAGAGGGGAGAGATGTGAACACTTCGACATGAAAAAACGTTGTCCTCCCACTGTGCTGAGATCATTGGGAGAAGCACCGAATTGGGTAAGAAATAGCCATTCACTTCCTCTAAGAAGTGAATGGAACACCAATGGAAGGTGTTTTTTGGTTTGTTTTTGCAAACAGTGTGTGGGGGTGGGGGTGGGGGTAATTCAAAGCAACATTTAAACAGAAAGACATTCTCTCTCAGAAGCAGGAGGAAAAAATGCAGTCCAGCAAGGGTTGCCCTCCTTATTTGCACATGCAAAGAAACTTGTGACAGGCTCACCACGCCCCACCTGCAGCCTGGCCCGCTAAGGCAGTGAGTAGGTACCCCCGAGATTCCCCGGCTTTGGAAACACACTCACATACTTTCTTCATGGCAGGACATGCTCTCCTTGGCTAGCTGGGGCTTCTTTTTCTTCTTCCTCCTTTTCCAGGTAAGGCAGCCAGCACCTCTCAGGAAGCCCCTCAGAGATGGTAAAAATCCATGCTTCCGAGTGGAAAGAGCTCTTACAGTCTCGTAGTTTAGGTTTGAATTCACTGACTAGCTGTGTGATCTTAGGCAAGTCATGAAACCTCTTTGAACCTCTGTCTCCTCACCTCTAAAATGGCTAGAAAAAGTATCTGCCGGTTGTTTTAAGGGTTCAAAATAATACATGTGCAGTTCTTGGCACATGGTAGGTACTAAATATCTAGGAGCTATTACTCCATCCAGGTGACGAAGTGAGGGGAGTCTAGCCATTCTCCTCGCCCTCACTTCTCCAGATGGGGTCCCCAAACCAGCAGCATTAACTGTGAGCGCGTTAGGAAGGCAGACCTGCTGAGTCACGCTTGGCAGTGTAACCAGATCCCTGGGTTCATTCGTCTGCACGTCAGCCTGTGAGAGGCTGCAGCCTCAGCTGTGCCAGGCCCTGGTGGGGCCCCCGCAGGACTGTATCCCAACTGGAACACAGCCTCCTCTTTAGCCCCCTCCGGACTCCAGCCACATGAAACACTGGCATGTAGTGCAGGCGTCGTATTTAATCTTCGTGGCTCAGCTCATTTAATCTTCAAACAATCCTCAGAGGGAATGCTGTTCTCTCCATTTTCCAAATGAGAAAACTAACCCTACATGATGAAAAATCGCTTCCCTGTCGTCACCCGGCTCTTCTGTCACAGAGGCAGGTTGAAACCCAGGGTCATTTGAAGCCAGAAGTGTAGCTGACAAAGAGCCTCTCCTTGACTAGACCCTTGCTGGGCTTCTCTAAGCTCTCTTCCTGACTGGGCCTCAACCTCAGCCTATAAAAACAGCAGACTCTCAGCACGAATGATTTAGGGTCTCTGTAAGAGGCTAGGAGCCTAACTTCCTTAAGCGCCTTAAGTTAGCAAACCCAGATAAGTTTCACGTGGACCAGCCCTCCACCTTCCCGCTTTTTGTACATTTAGCAGGAATTTCCATGTGTAAACCCCACCATTGCCCCTCCCTGCTCTCTCATTCTCCCTTTAAAATGCCCTCTGTACAAATGGAAGTTGAGGTCAGTTCATGCTGGGCCCTCTTTCCTACTGCAGTAGCATATTACTGATTAATATTTGTCCTCAACACTTTAGTGTCTGTCTGTGTTTATCCATGACACCTCTTTACCACTAGGTTATCTATCTAATACTGATAAGATGGAGAATTCCCTGAAATCATTTCTCCATTCAGCCAACTTGATTAAAAGAACTCTGCTCCCAGAGTACTTGTCCAATAGGTGATCACAGGTTTAGACCCCGGGTCCAAACCTCTGTCTTTCCTCCGTCTTTCTGCTCTGACGCTTACACACATTAGTGAGGTCGATGGAGGGGAGAGGGCTGTAGCCGCAGGGCACCATGGAGGGCAGTATAAATAGTGATCCAGATATCCCAGAGATGCTCAACCAGTGCTTCAGCCCTGGACTTGCACCCAGTTTCCCTGTGACTGCAAAGAGGTGACCTGCAGCACAGCCCTGGCATCCCCAAGGCATCCCTGGGGAACTCTAAGTCCCGGGCGGTGACAGACAGGAGCCGTCTCTTAGATGACCACTGGGGACTCTAGGAGGGGAATGCTGGTGGAGAATGCTGGAGTCTGTTCTTTCAACATCACCCCCAGTGATGTCCTGAACGCACCCCACCCAGGTGAATTACCTGGAATCCAGTCTCTTTCTTACAGCCTCTCTGGGAGTATTCTGGAATGATCTGACAATATCTGAAAATCAGGGCTTGGAGGAGCACAGGCAACTGTGGATGCCAAGACCACAAGTCGCTACAGGGAGCATGAGGTGGGGGAGAATGGGAGGGGAGGGCTGGAGCCCTGAGGCCCGGGGACTGTCATGGGACCGCTGGGGAGGGCTCAGCCCTACGGGAATCTAGCCCCTGATGTCAAGAGACGTTGCTTCAATTGCTTTGGGATAGCAAATTACTGTGAGAAAAAACAATCACTAGTATGTTATGAGGACATTTTGTTCCCATTTCCAAGGCAGGCTGATAGGAAGGCAGGCCCAGCCACGTAGGGCTGGTGGCAAGATGTTAAGTGTGCCACAGATAAAACTGGTCAGGCAAGCTCATCACCATGTCAAGCCTGTCCACGCCCAGTGTGCACCTATAACCACACGCTGACCCCACTCCAGAAGGGCACAGTGCTGGGCGTCACCACACTAGTTACTGCGTCAGCCCACCAGAAATACCACCTGTCTGCTGAAGGTGGGGAAAAAGCCGGATAAGGACCAGGTTAAACTTCCTTTATCCTTTGGATTTTTTGCTCATATCTTGTTAAGGCTCTGCCCCTCATCCCCCTGCCTTTCCTTCTCTTTTTTTTCTTTAATTTTAATCCTGTGGGTGGTTCTTTTGGAGCCCTCTGCAGCATTAGGGAACTTTGAACCCGCTCTAGTCTTCCTTTATTCCTTCTTCATCCTGGTGAACTCTGGAGAGCAGAAGGAGCTTTTAGAAACTCAAATCAAAGCAGATCGCGCTGCTACCTAAACTCACCGTTTTGTCTCATTTAGAATCAACACCAAACTCCTCACCAAGGCCCCTGAGGCCTAATATGATCCACCACCTCCTACTCTCTCTGCTCTGTACCCAGACACACTGCGCTGCCCCACAGGGCCTCTGCATCTGCTGCTCCTTCTTCTGAAGCACCCTTGTCCATTCTCGTCATGCAGGTCTGGCTCAAATGCCTCTTCTGGAACAAGTCCTCCCTCCTGAGCCCCCAGCTCCGCACCCTCAGCAGTGCCTATCACATCACCCACCACAGCACTCACCACAGCACCCTGTCACTCATCAATCACCCAGCACAGCACCCTCGTCACTCATCAATCACCCAGCACAGCACCCACGTCACTCATCAATCACCCAGCAAGCACCCAGCACAGCACCCATGTCACTCATCAATCACCCATCACAACACTGATGTCATTCATCAGTCACCCAGCACAGCACCGTCACTCATCAATCACCCAGCACATCACCCACGTCATTCACCAATCACCCAGCACAGCACCCTCGTCACTCATCAATCACCCAGCACAGCACCCACATCACTCATCACCCAGCACAGCACCCTCATCAGTTACCCAGCACAGCACCCATGTCACTCATCAATTACCCAGCACAGCACCCATGTCACTCATCAGTCACCCAGCACAGCCCCCTCATCACTCATCAGTCACCCAGCACAGCCCCCTCGTCAGTCATCATTCAGCCACCACAGCACCCTTGTCACTCATCAGTCACCCAGCACAGCACCCTCGTCACTCATCAGTCACCCTCCACAGTCCCATCACTCACCCAGCACAGCACCCTTGTCACTCATCAGTCACCCACCACAGCCCCCTCGTCACTCATCAGTCACCCAGCACAGCACCCAAGTCACTCACCACGGTCTCAGACACTCACCACCATCCCCCACTTGAGATGTGGGCCCCTTGATAATGGCAACTTGACCTGTTTTTTTGCACATTCCCCAAGGCCCAGACCAGTGCCTGGCCCAGAATTCGGGTGCAGTTGACAGTGGGGAGTGGAATTATTTCACCGAATGGGAGACCCTGGATGAGGGGCTGCTGGAGGCCACATCTCTATGACTCACATCCTTCAGGCAGTGTCCACTCTGCCACCCCAGGGCCTCCCCACTTTGCAGCACAGGGAAGACGTGGGGTTGCTCCACGTCATGGCTTCTATTTTCATCCCTGCCGCTGCACTACTTAACAAGCAAGGTTGACAAAGCTGAGGGCTACGTGATACAGCGGGCCACCAGCCAAGCACTTCCTTTTTCAAACCTCCTCCTTCCTAAGGCGTGAAGCAAGAAGTCAGGATGCTAGAACCCTGCCCGAGTTTGCAAAAGGTTGTTTGCCAGTGTGGCTGGTGTGACAGCAATTCACTGGGGGGTCTGAATTTAATGGGCACTCTCTCCATTAAAGCAGTTCCCTCAAGGGGGTCAAGTCTGCAATGCAGCAGACGCTGGGACGACGGTCCCTGCCCATCTGGTCTGACCTGAAACGGGCAGCTAATGGCCACATCATTCCAAATCATGAGATTAGCAGTCCAGGTCCTAACAGCCAGTGGCTTATCTCTGACTGCCACCTGGGCTCATGGGACACCCATTCCTTGAAGAGCTCAGACCTCAAGTGAGTGAGCATGTCCACCTTTCTCTGCAGGGAGAGTACTGCCCTCTGAATTGTAATTGCATGTTGCCCACCACCTCCCCTCCCCGCAAACATTCTGACTATAGAGCAGAGGGAGGAGTGGGCCTCACACACCAGAAAGCTGTGGTCCTTTGCTGACCTTTACATGAGCAGCTGTGAGGTGGCTGATTCGGGACCGACCGGGGTCACCATGTCTGTGCCCCCCATGCATTTGGGTGGGCCGATGCACTGGGCAGGATCTTGTGTAGACTCAAGTACGAGGAGGCACCTGACGTACTGAGACAGGGGAGCTAAGGTGTGAGCCTTCATTCTCCATTCTCTTTGTATGATACAGAACATTTGTGAAGTCTCTGAGGTATATTTTCTTGTTCTTTCATGTTTCCAAAGTCCCTTTCCAAAATAACACCTCAGTGTTCTGTGTTTTGGACATTCAAAGGAAGAAAATCAGATGGCAGTGGCTTCATGACTGGGGTTTCATTCCTTTTTCCCAGGAGCACTCCCGCTCTGGGTCTGTTGGCTGCAGCCATCAGCTGGGAGCGGGGGTGCGGAGGCACGGAGCAGCGAGCGAGCACGGGCACCCCACCCCAGCAGGACTCCTAACATTCGCGCAGAGTCCCCCAGCCCTTATGCGCCACAGCCAGAGAGAAGAGGGCCTGGCTGCCCAGCCGGGCGCCTGGACTGAAGACCAGCTCTCCACCCTATGTCCTGAAACCCACTCAGGTCTCAGCTAATCCCCTCCCTCCTTGTCTGAAACAGGCAACTCCAGGCTTCTCACAGAAGTGTCTTCTGTGGGCACCCACCGAGGCTGAGTTCACAATAAGGATGGAAGGACAGAGCTGCCGGGCAGGGTGCAAGAATCACACATACCAGGTCTTTCAAAGCACATCATTTAAAGTTTTGGACACCACAGGCCTGACAGGGACGATCTGGCTCCTGCAGTCCCGCAGGTCTAACTGCAGCGCTTCAGCTCCATCTTGGCCACTGCCGCCCTGTGCACCTCATCAGGGCCATCGGCAAAGTGCAGGGCTCGAGCCCTGGTGAAGAACTGAGACAGCGGGTAGTCGCTGCTCAGCCCTGCTGCTCCGAAGGCCTGGCAGACACAGGGCGGGAGGGGAGGAAGCCCTGGGTGAGCCCTCGTCTCTGAGAGCCCCAGGAACAAGTGCCTGCTCCTAAGATCTCAGAACGGCTCATAACAGCCTCCTTCCCAAGCTTGTCCCCTGACACCTGTGTGCTAACGATGCTCTGGAAGACTTCAGGTGGGGCCGCACTTGCCATCCCAGGGATGCCAGACTCCCAGGTCTGCTCTGCTAGGTGACTTCTGCCATCGGGAAATCCCTCTGTTGGGGCCAGGGATTGAGATTTGGGAAGGAGGCATCCCTGCATGGTTAGGAGGCTGGGCCTGCTGAAAGAAGGACCTAGGTTCCCCAAATCTGAGCTCAGCTCCTTTCAAGGTGAGTGACCCTGGACAAGTCACTTCACTTTCCTCTGCTTCTGTTTCCACATATTCAAAATGAAGGTAGGAATAGAACCCCTCATAGGGTTGTTCTGAGGAGGAAAAGGAAAGTCACATGTGGTGAGTGTGCGACAAAGGGCGGCTATTAGTTTACAGGAGGTTGGGCAGCTGAAGGAGAGGGAGTTTTGCATCTGTTGTAAATGATTCAGACAAATCAGTGATCCATCATCTGTGCTCACCTGAATAGCACGATCAGTCACTCGGTAAGCCATGGACAGGGCCACCATTTTAATCATGGCAATATCCAAAGCTGCAGCCTGCAAGGAAGACGAGGTGTGGTTAGGAGGGCAGACCCGAGGGCTGAACACTTGGAAGAACGATCGCTTTCACAGGGAGGAGTAGAAACAATAGCTCAGAAGAGAGAGCTGAGGTCCCGTTGGACCACAGGCCTTGCCTGGTGCGTGGTCCCTGCCCAGCACTGACGCGGGTGGAGGGGGCAGCGGGGTGACTAGGAAGGGCCTCAGGATGTTGTGCGGTGTGGGTGGCTGTCTGGTCATGGAAAGACTCAGGGCGTCTTCCCAGGTGACGGGCAGCATCGCCAGCTCACACAGAGGGCAGAGTAGTGAGTGGCTTGTGCCTCATTCAGGGTCATGGCCAGCTCTGTTTCCAAAGGGGTAAGTGGAACAAGGCCAGCCAGGACTCTGGGGAATTGAGCAGCAACGATCTGCCCTCAGTCTGGGATTTTAATCGAAGCCCCAGAGACCCCTCATACCTGGCACTAGAGTGCCAAGAAACAGGGAACTTGAGCCTGGGTCAACCCACTGCTACCGAGGCCTCTCGGCTAAGGGGTGGAGGCCCCACGGAGAGATGGAGAAGGCAGGGGTCAGCATGGCATCGTACCTGGCTGTTAGAGGCCCTCAAAAAGAGCCATTTAAAGAATAATGTCACACTTGAAAATAAAGCTTCTCCTCTGGCTAACTCCATGGCTTACTCTTAGTTTGCTGGATGCCCGGAAGTCCAGGTGTGGCCGTAGCTCAGGCTGGGGCCCTGGGGCCCTGTCAGGTCCACTGTCTTGAACCCAGAAGGTCATTGGGTCAGTAAGACAGAAAATTCAGTCTTTTATTGTACCTTTTCCATTTTTGAAAAGCTGCCCAAGTAGTCCCAAGGAGAGTTGAAGCAAACTTATTTATGTCAAGGAGCCAAGTGCTTTCTCCATGGTTTGCCGAGTGGGGAGGGAAGAGTCAGCATCTAGAGATTCCCGGGCCTGCGTCCCTCACCACGACCTCAGGACCTCTGTGAGGCCCCTCAGCCCCCTACCTTATTTCCCTCCACGTCCATGACATGGGCAGCTTTCAGCACCAGTAGCTGGGCCTGCTCAATCTCCACTCGGGACTGGGCAATGTCTGCCAGGACCGTGCCCTGCTCTACCAGGGGCTTCCCAAAGGCCACGCGGGACTTTGCCTGTGAACACAGGAGACAGCACGGGAGGCACGGGGCTGTGCCCTGCAGAGGAGGTGGGTGGAAGCACACAGGAGAGGGCTGGAGGGGAAGGCGGGCAGAAGTGGGACCGTGCAGTTCAGGTGCCACTTTGCCAGCTCTCCAGCCACTGGAAACTCCCAGGGAGAAAAGCCAGAAGCAGACAACGTTCGTGGGCACCGTGGAGCTAGTCAACGTGGTGGCTGCCCACATTACCTCCAGGAACCCCTTTACTCCAGCCATTCCGCTCCTTCTGTGCAGGCTCGGCTGCCAGGCAGGGACAGTGCTTGATCTGAGCTGCCTCTGGCCCAGAGCTACTCTGGGAACTAGGCAGTGACTGTGGGCACCTGACACAGGCAGGGGAGGGCGCCCTCTGCTGACAGCAGGGCCTGCTTCACGTCCTGGGGTGCCCTCAGGAGCAAAGTCTGGGTGCCAGACCCCTCTCTTGGGCAACTGTTATTGCAGTGGGGATTGTACAGTCTTTGAAAGTTACAGGCAATCAGAAAAACCTATAAGGGACCTATCCCCCACCCCCCTTTTTTTTTTTAACTAAAAACAGTTAATGACACAAATAATATTACTCATGGCAGAAAATGTATCCATTTTGACAAAAAGAAAAAAGAAAAAACTTAAGCACCTGGTATTCCATCATCTAGTCACACTTAATATTTGGTGGATACCTTTTTGTATGCATAAACACACATATGCAGTTTTTACAAAAATATGGAGTCATACTCTTTATAATGCTTTGTAGCCTGCCTTTTTTTTTTCATTAAGAGCATCTCTCTATATATCAAGAAATAGATTTCTACAGCATCATTTTGGAATTTCACTGCATGCCCATAACCAGGATTATCTGACCAGGCCCCAGTTGTTAGCCTTATAGGTTGTTTCCAATGTATTATAGTCATGGCTGTGGTGAACCTAGTATTAAATCTAATTACTCTCTTGAGACCAAGTCCTCTGAGTAGAATGGCCACGTCAGTACTATGGTACCTTCTAAGACTTCTGACACATACAGTCAAACTGCTCTGCAGGATGGGACTGGAGACTATACCTGAGCTCTTAAGAAAGGAGCATTTTCTTTAAAAAACAAAACAAAACAAAACAAAAAACAAAAACCCCAAACCCAAAAAACTAGTCAGTCTCAACTAAAAAGGTTGAATCTCAGGTTTGCTCAGTAATCTATGCACACCGGATCATCTCTGTTCTTTAGACAGTGCTTTGTGAGATATTTTGGAGGCTCAGGGGTTTGCTTCATCTTTGTGAAATTGATATCACCAATCTGAATTACCACTGCCAGCAAGAGCTTTCTTTTGTGTGGGCTTGCAACCTTTGAGGG